AGTATTGGAAAGATCAGGGAATCAGATAAACCAAAAACGTTTCCTTAAAAAGCAAATCATTATGGTGCTTGGCAAACAGAAACCTTGAGAGTTGCTCCATATCTTAGGAGCATTAGTCTGAAAAGTCGATGTAAAAGCTGTTTTGCTATATAGACTCACCAGTCGGGCAAACCTGTGTTTCTTTAATGGAGAAGCTGAGTGTGCCCATGGATGTGGCTTTTCCAGGCATATTTGGTAAATATTGGGCTTCCTTCGCTCCTGTTTTAATCTCACTGAATCTCACTTTTCGTCATTTGTTACGAGGATTAAAACTAAATGAATTCAGCCTTTGCAATCAGCTCCTTTCTCTTGTTACCATGAGTTTTGACTTCATCATAAAGTGTGAAGAGAGTGTAAATCAACAATGGGATCTAACCATTTTCTTTCTAAAATAGATGTTGTTTTGACATGTACTTCTACACTGGGGCTCAATGAGGGAAAAAATAATGCCATATGCTTTCAAAGCAGTGCGCCGTCTGCTGCATGGCTTTCTGTTTTCTAATACAAGCACTTGCCATCATTGTCAGAAGTTAGCAGTTTGACAAGAAAACTAGAGTGCTAACTAACACACTGAGCCCATCCTCAGCTTTCATCACTACCAGAAATTAACTTTCAAAGGTTAATGGAATGAGGAGGGCTGGAATTCAAATCTCTTGCGGCCTAATTATAATCCTTCCCAAAAATTCAAGACATTTAATAAACTTTCCTCCAAAGTACTAGTTTTCTTAAAAGAGAATTAAATAAATCCTATGATTTGGGAGTCTGAGGGATTTAAAATGTTAATACTGGAATGTAGCATTTTTAAATGTAAGTAGAGCTGGATAGGACAGAATGCTATAATGAGTCACAGCAGGAACGTGGATTAGAAACAGCCCCATTTTATGAAATGAAACACATCATTTCACTTGGTTAAAGTCTTGACTTTCAATAAACAAACAACTGCACGCAAGGAAAGGGAAGAGAAACGACAAGCTAAATGTAAAAACAGAATATGTCCAAAGGATGAAACATCACCTCAATACGATCTTGTCATCCATGCCTGCAGCTCCTTCCTTAGGACTACTGTAACTCTTTTTTCTTTGGCTGACCCAATTTCTGCTATTTTTGCCTGTGCAGAATGTTTCCCCCTTCAGCCTATCTCGAGCACTTGAAGGAGTGAATATCACTCAAATCCTCAAACAACCACGCAGAACCCCACATTCATTTCAAAATCCAACTTGTTTTTGTTCTCCACAGGCTTACTCTAATTCACTCCGTAAATTCATCTTTGTCTTTCATTCTTCTTTCCTCCTTCCTCTTGCCAACTGATGACTTTTTTTTGGTTTTCACACCACTTCTGGTCATTTACTGCACATGAAAATTCTAAATGTCCTGCCAACTGGAACAACCTTTTTAAATTTCTCTGCCATACTTATTTTGATTTACAAATCTGTTGAGGAAAACCTTTTTTTTTTCCCCTCTTGCTGATTTATATTCCCTTTTCTTTTGTGATCATTTATTGTACTTATCTTTGTAACAAAGTAAATCGATTTGTGACATAGCATATATAAAAGATGCTCACAAAGTGAAGTATTACTGTGTACTCCTCTCTCCTCCCCCACAAAGAATATCAGTATGTATTTTAAATGAACAGTCAAAATTGAATCACAGGCAGCTCTTCACTACAAAGGACAATGATTCAATATAATTATGATTCAATATAATTCTAGATGCCTATTGAATTCTAATGTCTATGTGTCAGTACTCCAGTATTGATGTCTTTTATAAAACAGTTGTCATTATTATATGTTGCTATTAAGACTACTATTAAAAAGGAAGCAAGGATTCCTCAGATACGTCTGTCTATTTTCTGCAGATAAAATGGCATTCATTCTTTCACATGCAGTAGGGAGCTTTTTTGATCATTTGCCCTGTATTGGAATTCAAATCTAATAATATGTAATTGCAAGTTAATTAGTTCTTGACAGGCCATATACATGTGAATTCTTGACAACTTTCTTCCAGCACTGTCTGAACACGAGGCCAGGCTGTGTCCCTTGAACCATCTCAGAGTTACAGTCTTCACTAAGAAATAATAGCAAAAGCATTTATGTAGAAATCACTTCACCCATCAACACTGGCTTATGTGACTGCAACATTGTCTTATGCGACTGGCGCTCTAACCAGTGGCCAGAAGGGATTCTGGACTGTTCGGTAGAAACAAGTGTAAAGCAAACACAACAAGGCTTTTAGGACTGCACTAAAAGCACAAGCAGCTATCAGTTTTAGCTGTGCTCTTGGGCAATATAGCCAATTTTTCCTGTGGCTTCAGTTTTCTCTGTCCCAGCTCAATAGGAGGGCCGGGTTTAGTTGTCATCTAAAATGAAGGAAGGACAGGTGCTGACTTCTTCCTGAAGAAAGCTTCAGACCTCACAGCTATGAGTTGGAAGTAGCAGCACTTCTAACATTGTCAAAGAAGGTTATTTGTATTGATTTGTAATTTAACTGTTAACAGAAAGAAAAGCTGACATCATTTTACTTTTACCTCTTTTATATACATTTAATATTCTGTTATTTATTCTCTACAGGGCCTTCTGAAGTTAAAAATTAGGCCAAAAATAACTCTATTTAGCCATCTAGGCTTGTAAACACATCATGGAAAAGACTATTTCTTTGTACAGTCAAATTCATTCTAAGGACCTATTATCTCCATGGATATAATATAAAGGTGTTCGTTTAAGTATGAATTACAACTTGTCCCATATACAAAATGTCAATGAAAGGAGACACTGAAGGTATCAGATAGATGCTACTGAGAGCTATATTATGGCTAAAGAACTCAGAGTGCAACTCAGACAAGAGATTTTTGTTTGAAAGGTACCTTCACTGACCTGCCTTACCTGTTAAATTATTATATTATATTGCAGTTTTGTCAGGAAGCAGCTTTCTTCTTTCTTTCATTCTTTCTTTTTTTCTTTTTTTCTTTCTTTCTTTCTATTCTTATTCAATAGCAGTCTCCCTGGAAGAACTCTTGCAGCTACTGTTACTGGAGTTTAATTTATGCCTTTTGAAATAACTACAACTTGTGAAACTCTGTCACTGGGGGAAATCAGATTGAAATTTTCTCTTGAATAGTTGGATTATTATTGCAGCCACTTAAAAGGTGACAGGATCTTCACCTCAGTCATTTTTTTTCCCTAAGAAGTGTTGAAAATGTCACCCAGTTAAACCCCAGATCAGAGCGTCATTTAAAAACATGTCTCATTAAACACTCAGCTCTTGTTATGACCCTGATGGATTGGTTGCTACTGAGTTTATGAAAAATGAAATGCATTACTTCTCCGAGAAGCTTTAACTGTGTATTTTCCATTCTCGTTTAGGATGGGGAAGTCTGACACTTATTAAATGGTTAGAATCTGGCCTACTTCTCACCTAATTCAAAGACTAGAGAATGAAGAAAACGTTGAAATATCTTTTCTTTTTTAACAAGCAGCATCTGTCATGCCTTGCAGACTTTTGAAGGCAACACCAACTACGATACACCTGAACTGCGGACTTTTGAACCTGTATCGACGAGATTTGTCCGCGTCTACCCAGAGAGAGCCACACACGCAGGATTGGGACTTCGAATGGAGCTGCTGGGATGTGAACTTGAAGGTAATTGCTCTGCTAGAGATGAATGCACTTTATTATTTTCAGACAGACATTCTGTACTTGGACTACTGCTGAACACTGCTGTTCTTGTACAGGCATAACATCATACTCTTGCTTCCGTGACTGCCATTAGTGCTGTTTCTTGGACTAATCAGTTCCTTCTGGGCAGACATTCGAATATGCTGAAGGCACAAATGTTATTCTCTCTCCCATCCTTTGTTGAATCACAGTGATACTCTCCACATGGTTTCTGTTCCCTCAAGCAAACATATGATTATGCTTTCGAGAAGCATAGAGCTATTAGGAGAAAATAAAGACAGAAACTTATATTTTCTGTTACCATGATAGAACCCAGGGAGAGATATTTTATGAGAATGCAAAGGGAGAAATTATACCTTTTGCTCCTTCAAAGGATGTGAAAATCAACCAGACAACATGGTAGGCAGTGATTACTTGTCTGGACAGGGTCTGTGTTCTTGCTTTTTAAGGGCGAGGAAGGTCCTTTTTGTTCCCTACCATGCTTTAATTTTGCAACAGTATGTAAAGAGATGAAAGACCAGGAAAAGCAAAGTTTAGACATTTATCCTTGGACTATGACATGAGGTATTACTATGCTTTGATTTTTGGTATATAAACAAGAGTTATTTAACGTCATAGATAACAACAGATAGCACTATGTGAATTTCACAGTGTTATCTGGTGGATGAAGGTTCAGTGGCTTGGCTTATAAATCACAGAGCTTACCAATACACAGCTAATAACAAACCATATTATCAGGGGTTTCATATGATACCTCAGAAAGAAGTCGCTGAACAGGCTCCCAAGATGAATGACTGTTCCACCTCTGTTTCTCTCTCACTGTCTCATTCCCACAGTGGAGGAGTGGGAAGCATTACTGTGAGAACTGCTGAACTCTCTGCTGTTTTTTAGTGAAGGCCAAATTGAATGTGTGCTTTTTACTTGGCCCAGAAAGTTGGGAGTTTGAAAATTCTTCTTAGTTCCTGCAGGAAGTCCTAATTTCCTGTGAGAATTCTTGGTTCCTGCAGACTATTGTACTACTTGCTCAGAAAAGAGAAAAGAAAACTCAGCACCTGCCCTGTGTAAACTTACAACCTGTGGGTAATGTCCTTCTGCTATGGGGGTTCTGTAGCCACCTATGCATCAAGAAGTGATTTTATGGATCACCTTACAAGAACATGTGGCTCAGTGAGGTGGAGGAGCCAGAAAAGACTAAATAGGCAAACTGAAGCACCAAGTATTTTGTTTCCCTGGGACTCATCTACTTGCATTCATCTTCCCACACTAGAGCACTTCTGAAAGTTGCTCACCTGCAGGTCATCCATGGACAGGCAGGGTCAATTTCCATTCACCTACAGGAGAAACATAATAAGAAAAATTTGTTGTATAACGGTATCTTAAGGAGGGAGTCGAATGAAGAGAAATCACTTGAGATTTACTGAGGAGGATAGGTGTTGAGCTGAGAAAAGAGGCATGGAGATAGGCACAGACAGGAGTAAAAATCAGCTCTCCAGCAGTAATGAGCAAGGGGAAGCTTTGTGTCTTCAAAGCATCCCGGGGGGCTTATGTGAATTGATGGCAGAGACATAGGCAAGCTTGAGGCTATACAGGGGCATGAAGATCAAGATAAGAAACTTAACTTGATGTAGAAAGCTAGAGGAAGCTCCCAGAGGGGTTTTCAAGGAGGTATGGGGAATAGATGCTCTGAATAATTTATAACAGGTGCAGAAATGTTTCTTTAGTGCTAGATTATACCTGTAAAGCACAGGTCGAGGTCCAAAAAAGCTTCGTTTCATCCCAGAATTGAGCTTCCGCAGAAACTGCCATCCCTACTGACATTTTCAGGCCATGAATTCAGTGCATAAGATCTTATGTGGACAGTGGGCTCTGGAGGCAGTAGAAGGGCAAAGAAGAATCCAAGGAAGTGAAGCATTATTATAGAGTTATAATCACAGTAAAACATTGTTAATGAAAATAGCAGTAGTTGAAAACAGGCAAAAGCCTGGACCACATTCCCAGACTGGTTATCTTAAGAAGAGGAAATATACTTCCAGCATAAAACATAACTTGTATCCTGATTTTCCAGATGTTATATGTTTTGCAGACACTGGGATTTAGATATGTTTTCTGGCACCTTGCACAAATCTCAAGGTCTTAATTGCAATAACAAAGGTCAGACTTCTACTGGTTGTGCAGCAGCTACCGGAAAGTCATCACCAGTGAGAAGCAAGCAGGTGGCCAGGAGGGATGACTGACATCATTGATGTCTTACTTATTTATAACTAAAACAAGAACAAAAGAAACTCCTTGCAGACCTTCTCAGTGAGCACAAAGTGATTCCACATCACACTGCCTTCCTGCTACTGTTACTGTCTGCTCAGACATTTCCTCCCTTACATGTGCTATGTGGAGATTTCTTTGGCAGTGTGGTAGGTGCTGGAGAACTACCACCCTGACTGCACCCCTCCTACTGCTCTGTACAGGCCTACTCATGAGCACTTCAGCCACATGATAAGATTATGGGCTTTCTACCCAACCTTGAGACTTCCATCCCTTCACTCCTTGTTTGTAGAAACAATAAGGTGTCATCAGCCAATGACAGATAGTCCAGGGCTTTACTGTCCAACTCCATCCAGCCCTTGAGCTCACATACAGCAGAGTGCCTTAGTGCAAGAGGAAGAACAAGTACTGCCCATTGCAAAGAAATATTAACTAACCTGTGGAGTTGCTCCTTCTCTCAAAAACAGCACAAGAAAACACCGTATGGTGCTCATCAAGATGTTACTGCCAATTGCATGCTGATTCTGCAGCACACTTTTTAACTAACAACTGGATTTTCTTTCAGCTCCAACGGCTGTCCCTACTGTTTCCGAAGGCAAGCCCGTAGATGAGTGTGATGATGACCAGGCGAACTGTCACAGTGGCACAGGTGATGACTACCAACTGACAGGTGCAGAAACCATCCTCATTTCATTGCAGCTTCATTGTAGCTCATATTCATCACCAGTAACCAGCTAAACATTTGTACTGATTTAATCACTCAGCATAGACGGACATTGGTATGCAGTTTATATTGTCGGTGCTGTCAAAACAGAGGCATCTGCCTTTTACATGTGACAATACTTTTGATTGTTTTCTCAGCTATGTAATTTTGGAAGCAAATAATAGCGACTAGCTGGAGCAGAGGGCTTTTTTTTTATCAGGAATTCTGTCTAATCATAATGTCATAATTAAACTTTCTCTTACTAAGAACAAAACTGGATAAACCTTTTGAGGTTTATTGTCTGAAGTTGAAGAACTCAAAATGAATTATTGTTTAGGTTCTTCCATGTTGTTAAACTCTTCCATGCATAAAATTTAGCACAGGACTCAAATCTCAACCCGAAACCTTACTCACACAGAAACAAAGCAGATTTGATTCATCAAAGTATTCTCACATGTATGCCACCAAAAAGATTTTCATGACCTTCCCCATCAGCACTGCATTACAGCCACAGAGGGGCTGCCATCACTAAAAGGAAAACAGGACATAAGTTTATCTGCATCTGGAAGGGAGAAAGCTTCTTAAATTTCATATTTTCTCACTTCTGCAGAGAACCACTGTCCTTCTGAGATGGCTGATTCTCCATCACTACGTTCTCGATCACTTCAAGCAGGTCACTTACTGCAGAAAGCTCTGGGCCTGCTCTTGTACTAGATCCATACTTCTGTAGCAGCTGAGCTTATTTTTGGACATAGCAACACTGGTTATTTCATCACCTCTCCCTGGTGCACTTATCTAATAAAAGTTTACTGTTTCTTATGTTTATGGCATAAAATAGCACCACAACCTGACAATAGCTGTCCACAAAGACATCGAGAAACCTTAGGTAAGAGAGAGATTGACTTTTTGGAAGCAGCCAAGTAGAACATCTGACAGCAGATATGAGTGAAAGTGCAGTTTCAGCATCAGACCCTTTCTGAGATTTGCCAATGTCTCCCGTAAATGTATGCTGCAAATCAAAAATTGAAAAGCAATTTGTGGGCAGAAAAGATGCCACATGGTCACTGTCACTGCTTTTCAACTCAGTATTCCAGATGAATCTTATTCTTTGTGAAAAGAGCCACGTAGAAAGTCTAATAAAATAGTCCATATTGTGTTAAGGTAGATCAGAAAGCTTTCACTATTACTAAACATTGTAATTTTGTAATTTTTCTGAAAGCAGAGCCAGGTCAGAAAACCCTGGGGCTTCCTGCAAAGCTCTGTGATGAAGGCTGGCTTGCAAGACCCAATAGGTAGAGCCTGTGTGAGAGCAAGGAGACAGATCTGTGCAAGCACCTTCCTGTTCACTCACTAATAGTCTCTGCACTTCAAGCAGCTCAGGACTGCATCCCACATGTCCCTCAGGGAAAGGTTATTGAGCAGAAGAAACTCCCTCCGGCAATTTTTGCAGGCTGTGCTTAGGGAGCAGTTTATAATCTCTAAGACAAGGGAGCAGCCATCACCCTGAGCATCAGATTTTCTGGTAACTGAACCTATTTCACTACTCACATTGAAAATTATTACACTGCCCTTCTACAGAGTGCTGGCACTTCCGTATAATTTACAACCCCACCTAGAAACCCTGGCTCAATTGTTCCAGGCACAGCAGTAATGTTACGTTTTATGTTTGATGTCACATACAACACAAAAAATGCACAGAAGTGATTTTACCAATAAATTTATTGCAAACATTCCTTCAAAATACATAGACTGAAAGTATGTAAGTCTCACAGCCCATGAAGGATGGCAGAGTAAGGCATCAGTGCCATCCCCTCTTTCCTCCACTCCCCATGAGTGCAGTGCCAGCATTCTTATGGGTACGGCTGCTTGAGTCACTTCCCTGATGGTACTTGCACATATGTGAGTATCACAATGAAGCCTCCCTTGCAATTAACTATAATTGTTCTGTAGGCCAGATTCCTTCCTGCTCTATTTGGACCCCATACAGAGCTACTCTATTTGCGTGTCTTATAGCATTTCCCATCAGATCACTCTCACAAACATAAAGCTGATATAGCTTGGGCATTCATTCTCACTGGAAGTCATCATACTCATCCTTTCTATAATGCTTTAAGTACTTGCTTGCTGGAGAAGAGAAAAGCCAGTGACTGGTAATCAGCACCCCACTGTGCATTTATAATTGCACTAGTTTACTTTTTGTTTCCTTTATCAATATGAGGCTTACCTTTAAAAAGTCAAGTATTTTTAAAATATCAATTAGTGAGCATAGAGGGCCATGACCCCTCTCATCTCATGTTCATCTACTTGAAGAATAAAACAAAGTTCTTAATTTCCCCTGCTCTTTGAGACAGAAGTGAAACCTGCCTAAAGAACAGCCAAAAGCTGGGCAATTCCTATGCAGCTCATATGCAAGCTGGCCTCACAAAGTGGTTGTGAAGCAGTGCAGGGGCTGGAGGACCCCAGGTGTCTGATATGGCAAGCATGTGCTTGCTGAATGCACAGATTCGTGAGTGTCATGGGGGCTAGGGAGATCAGTCACTGACATCCATCTGATTTTGACAAATCACTGTCTGTAAAGTGAGGACAACCGTAAGGGCACGATGGAGATTGATTACTTGGTGTTTGCGAGGACTCAAAACATAGAAAGCTTTATTTGAGTTTTAGGTGAGGTGTTTTTTGGCCTGTTTGTTGGGGTTTATTGCTTTGGTGGTGTTTTTTTGTTTTGTTTTGTTTTTGTAAAGAAAACCAGAAATGTAATGTCATATTTTCATGCTTAAGGTACTCAGTTGCCTTCATATCTAATAAAAGGTGGTCATATTTCAGATTTATATGTAGGATGTTCCTAATGACCACTGTGTCCTTGTTGTGTCGCACGTATCATGATATACATAATTTCTTTTCCAGGTGGAACTACAGTGCTGAACACAGAAAAGCCGACAGTAATAGACAATACATTACAACCAGGTATAAAAAAGAGTTTTTTCTTATTAAAAAAAAAAAAAAGAAAAAAAAAATTCCATGCCTGAATTTCATGCCAAAATAATGAATTGCAGCTTCCTGACTCCCCAGTCCCTAAAAGTCTCTGAAGTAAAGAAGCATCTGGTCTTTCAGCTCTATACAGTAAATATTTTATTCCTTTCATCCACATGTAGACAAAGCAGAGAACAAGATTTCCTTTTGCATCAGCAAATGGTAAATGTGACAAAATTAAACTATCTTAATCAAACAGTGGATTTTGTTAGAATGGCATCTTAGCAATACAGTTTGTTTGCAAACCTGCGAAAGACAAAAACAAGCCACACAGGCACATTCACTTTTAATGTCTGTGGTTTCACAAAACGGACAAGTTTGCCAGTTTTATCCACCAGAGAGCTGGCAGTTTTACAACATTGTTTTCTAGCAAGCTTTCTCAAAATAGGGTTACATAAACTACTACCATGAGCTTGAAAAGAGAGGAACAAGTTGTCACTGGCAGCACGTCCTTTCTACTTAATCAATACAGTAACTAGCAGCTTTTAAAATCCTTACTTTTCTGCTTCCAGATCCTTCATGGCATCTTTTTAATATCCTGTTCAGTTTACTGGGAATAGGGGATTGAATAGATTTGGTCAGAATATCTGAACTGTAAAAACTGGTAACACCAGCTTAAAATGCTGTGCGTTAGTGAAGGTGGAGTGGTAAAGAGGTCAGCTTTCGACAACTCCCATTTCCTCCATTAAAGTATGCACAGCTTTGCAAGTGATTTGTAGCAGGGTGGGCACGTGTTTATCATTGTTTCCTCAAATGTATGACAGAAACCATTTTTGCTTCAAGTGAAAAAAAAAGGTACTAATAATGGAAAAGTTTCTTACAGAGCGCCAGCGGTGTCGATCTGACAAAGAGATAGAGCCGGCTTCTCTCTGAC